TAGATTGATAATTGACAATAAACACTTTTATTCCTACTTGTTCTTACCTGTGTTCTCAAATTAAAGAGGCATCCTTATTAAAACAAAAGCATTCATCATATAAAAATAGTGTTATTTTATTTATAATTACCTAATTAAAAAAAAAAAAAAAGAGGAGTCCTGATGTGGCGCTGTGGGCTAATGCGTCAGATCGCAAAGTCATTTGAACTACAAGTCTGTGGTTCAGGCTCACCAGCTATTCCTATACAGGGTCTTTTTGGTTTTCTGATTCCAGATCTTTGCACGTTTTGTTGTAATATTTGGCTTTATCTTCTTGAGCTGATCTTTGAAATTTTCTGTTCAGCTCTTGGACCTCCTCATTTCTTCCATTTGCTTTAGTATCTCTACACTGAAGAGCAAGTTTCAGTGTCTCTTCTGACATCCATTTTGACCTTTTCCTTCTTTCTTGTCTTCTCAAGAAACCTTTTTGCTTTCTTCATGTATGATGTTCTTGATGTCATTCTCTAAATGCATATAAGAGTTATTAATATATATTTTATGTGGATTTTAATTTAAACATACTCCATATAAAATATGTATTAATAAATCAAATACATTTAGAGAATTCTTTCATTTGGAGTCCTGGTGTGGCACTGTAGGATAAGCACTCGACCTCAAGATTGGTTTGAACTACAAAGTCAGTGGTTCAAGCTCACCAGCTGCTCCTCAGAAATCCTATACAGGGTCACTATGATTCGGAACAGACTCAATGGCACACAACAACGGCAACAATTGATTTATACAGTTGAACTCGTGTTTTATAACAGATGAGCATTATCATAAAGTAATTTGCTTAAAATTTTTAAATAGAAATTTAGAAGACTTTCTTCTTTTAGTATGTCCTCGCTTTCTTCTTGAATTAGTTATTATTCAGTGACTACATTAGCATGTTATAGTTGTTGTGACATGTCATCCAGTCAATTCCAACCCATAGCGACCTTGTATAGGGTTTCCAAGAAGCAGCTGGTGAGCTTGAACCGCCGGCTTTGGTGTCTGGCACATTAACCCACAACACCACACCAGGACTCCAGCATGTTATAATATTATATTTTTTAAATCTGTCCTCTTATAAATTTGAAAGTACTGATGTGATCTAACCCAGGAATATTAATTACAATGATATATTATAAAGTATGTTTAGGATAGGATTCTGTATCCTATCCTAACAAAGGATAAACACTAGACCACAGGGTCGGTTTGACCTACAGGATCAGCGGTTCAAGCTCACCAGTCACTCCTCAGAAACCCTATGACTCATAGGTCGTTATAAGTCATAACTAACTCAACAGCACTTAACAACAACAATACTATTATAATGTTTACACTGTATAGGCTTTCTGAGGATTGGTTGGTGGGTGTGAACTGGCTAATGGGTTGGAACTACCAACCTTATAATTAACACTCCAGTACTTATCCGACATCACCATACCAGGACTCCGTAATAGCACTATACTATTACAAGTATGATTAGAATTATGAATTTAATGTGTTCCTAATATTAAGGAGCTCTGGTAGCGTAGTGGTTACAAATTGGGCTGTGAACCGCAAGGTCAGCAGTTCGAAACTACCAGCTGTGCCGCAGGAGAAAGATGAGGCATTCTGCTCCCGTAAAGATTTACAGACTTAGAAACCCTGTGCAGGGTCGCTATGAGTCGGAACCGACTCCACGGCACTTAACAACAACAACAATATTAAGAATAAAATCAATTTGTGCATTTTTATCATTCAAATGTCAATATAGTCAGTCTAAGAACAGGGTTCTTTAATGCTCTGCTCTAGGGTTTAATAGATTAATTTAGTTATTTTTTGTTACATTTAATTTTTCAAATGAGTATGATATTATACATGACACAATTAAAAATCTACAAAATCACATGGAAAGAAAGCAAGAAACAAATCAAATTGATATAAAGTATTTTGATGTAATCAGTACTGCATATTTAAAATCTGATTTTAATACTTGCCTATTTCCTTATAAGTATTTGTGGTTAGATCTAAGAAAGTTGCTTATACCTTAGCAAAAAGGCAGCTAATTGAGAAGCCTCAAAGTTTGTTGACTTATGTAGCTTAGATATCTTGATGGAATCGCCTGTCATTCCTGTACCTTATGAGTTAGTGTGGTAGATTCCATTATTGTTAATATAATGGAATACATTAATTTTTTCCCCTTACTCCCCTCCATGGAGTCACTGAAGGTTTCCTGCTCCTCAATCAATGGAACATAAGAGAGATGCAATGATCAAAAGATGAAAAGCACTCACATGACTGGGTTTCCCTCCCTAACTTTCTGCCATTCCCCACAAGAACATGCCTGTGCTGGCTCGAGGGGTCCCAGGAGAAGACTGAGAGAGAAATGAAACAGATCTACCTCTGAAAGCTTTGTCTAGCTGAGTTCAGCCAAGCCCAGACACAGACGTGTAAATGACGGATTCTCTAGGCACTGAAGTTTATGTTGGTGCATTACACAGCCTTGTTCTAACAATAGGTAAATCGGAAGGACAAGAGACAGAGTGCCGAGGTTTCCTTTCCAGCTATGCCATATACTAGGTCTGAGTGACATTTGTGCATTTAAACCTCTGAGCCTATTTTTAAAGTCTGTCCAACTTGGAGTAAAGTGTCCCAGACAGGTGATTTCTCCAGGAGAAAAATAACATTGCTAAGGTTAATAATATGGAAATTATATTGAGAGACTAATGGATGGAGGGTAGTGGTGTGTTGTTAGGTGCCACTATATAGCAGTTCGCGTCAACTGTATGTGTAACAGAATAAAATGTCCCCTGCTGCTGTACTGTAGTCATGATATTTGGTAGTTTTGAATCCAGTGTGTTGGCTGTTGTAAACCTTAATAGCAATAGATTGTAGGAGAATTTAGTGGTACTTACAAAGAAAGGTAAGAAGATGGTGGGGGAAAAGCAATGATTACATTCATGGAAAGCAAAAATTACATAAAAAGAAAACTTAATTGTGGACATTACTTGACTCAACTGGAGTCCTGTTGTGGCTCTGTGGGTAAATGCACCAGACTGCAAAGCCATTTGAACTGCAAGGTTAGTGGTTCAAGCTCACCAGCTGCTCCTATACAGGGTCGCTATGGGTCAGAATCGACTCAACGGCACTTAACAACAACAACTTGACTTAACAGTAAGCAGAACTCATAATATAAATATGGAATACTGATGTTAACTAAAATTGTGTTATATCTAAATTGAAAGGGGATATCACAGAGCTACATTGGCATTTAACCAGGGTTTCTCAACTTTACTCCTCAGTATGATTGACATTTCGAGTCCAAGAAATTGTTGGATACAAGAGGCTGTCCTGTGCACTGTAGGATGTTTGGCAACATTCCCTATTCTACTCTTTACTCAGTTTGGATAACATGAGCCATCTTTATAATTATTCCTTTGTATACTTATCAATGGAGAAAAGATTGAAGTTGTCAAGGACTTCATTCTTCTTGGTTCAACTATCAACACTCACGGAAGCAGCAGTCAAGAGATCAGACGACGTATTGCATTGGGCAAATCTGCTGCACAGGAACTTTTTAAAGTATTGAAGAGCAGAGATGTCAGCTTGAGGACTAAGGTGCACCTGACCCAAGCCATGGTATTTTCAATAGCCTCATATGGATGCGAAAGCTGGACAGTGAATAAGGAAGATCGTAGAAGAATTGATGTCTTTGAGTTGTGGTGTTGGAGGAGAATACTGAAAGTGCCATGGACTGCCAAAAGAACCAATAAATCTGTTTTGGAAGAAGTGCAGCCAGAGTGCTCCTTGGAGGCCAGGTTGGCTAAGCTTCGTCTCTCATACTTTGGACATATTGTCCGGAGGAAACAGTCGCTGGAGAAGGATGTCATGCTGGGTAAGGTGGAGGGTCAGAGAAAAAGGGGAAGACCCCTAACGACATGGATCAGCCAGGTGGCATCAAGTATGGCAGCAGTAGTGAGGTTGGCCCAGGATCAGACGTTGTTTTGTTCTGCTGTGCATGGGGTCGCTATGAGTTGGTTCCGACTCGATGGCACCTGACAACAACAATAACAACATACTTACAGCCTTAAGGAGCCCTGGTAGCACAGTGGTTACACATTGGGCTGCTAACCGAAAGGACAGCAGTTCAAAACCACTAGTTGCTCCACAAAAGAAAGTTGAGGCTTTATGCTCCTGTAAAGCTTTGCAGCCTCAGAAGCCCTATACAGAACTGGCAGGACAGCACACAGCAGTAACATATTTATAAACTTAACTCCTTTGCCTGTCTCTCCTTCAGTCAAACTAATACTGAATGGAAAAGAGGATGTTGTTGCTATTGTTAAGTGCCGTCTAGTCAGTTATGACCCATAGCAACCCTATAGGGTTTTCAAGGAGCAGCTTGTGAGTTTGAACCACCAACTTTGCAGTCCAGTGCATTAACCCACAGTGCCACCTATAGGAAAAGAGGTTGTTATTGTTAAGTGTTGTTGAGTCGATTCTGACCCATAGCGCCCTGTATAAGGTTTCTTAGATGCAGCTGGTGAGCTTAAACTGCCGACCTTGAAGTTCAGACAGTTTTGCAGTCTGGTGTATTAACCCACAGGGCCACACAAGTGAGCCTTCCTTCCCAGGTGTTTCTGGATGGACTTGAACCTACAACCTTGTAGTTAGCAGCTGAGCTCATCAACCATTTGCACAACCCAGGGGCTCCCAGAGAAGACACTCAGGACATATTAAATCCAAAAGGGAATTCCAAAAGGGAATTCATGAAGTATTTAACTAAGGCCAAAATTCAGAAGGAAAAGAAGGCTGAGTGGAAAACAGAATCACAGGGGACGAAGTGGGAAAACTTGCATGGAGGGGATTACAATCACTGATATGAATATATATATATGATTTATTGGATGTAAAACTGATGATCTCTCTGTAGATTAAATTTAAAAAAAGGAAAACGAAGCCAGAGAGGTGCAGTTTGACCGTGAGCTCATGGGGCCTCACTCGGCCCTATAACTCACTGAGCAATGAAAGTCCCTAGAGTCTTCAGTCTCCTGTCTCATTCCCATTTTGAATCGAAATCGATTGACCTTCCTTCTTGTTTTCAGGATCCTTTGAAGTGCAGGTTTTACATTAATCGTTAGTGGAGCCTCAGGGCCTCCGTAATTCATCGGCACTCTTATTAAGACGCAGTGTCTCAGATCAAACAGAATTTGAGGAGAAGACAGAATTGATCGTGTCCAACAGTACACAAAAAGATTCTCATAATACCCCAATGTTCTCACATGACCTCGAGCCTTAGATGCCCCGGAATCCTCCAGAGCGTTAAAGGCACCACGTGACTGTCTTGAATCTAATAGTAAAGGGACAGACAGTACAGATAACAAAAGGGCAAAATTTGACTGTAAAAAGTATCTTTGCTTTATAATCCAAGATTACAGTGATTAAGTTTTGTTTTGTTCTAGTTTTTATAGTGTAGCCAAGTGTAGTGGCGGTGGATTTGTGCTGTCCAGTCAGTTCTGACTCATAGAGACCCTGTATAGGGATTTTGAAGCTATAAATCTCTACGGGAATCCTGGTGTGGTGCTGTGGGATAATGCACTGGATCACAAGGTTGGTCTGAACTGCAAGTTCAGCGTTTCAAGCTCACCAGCTGCTCCTCAGAAAGCCTATACAGGGTCGCTATGAGTCGGAACCTACTAGAAGGCCCTTAACAGCAACAACAACAAAATTTCTACGGGAGCAGAAAAGTCTCATCTTTCTCAAATGGCGTGGTTGGTTGACCTTTCACTTAGCAGACCAACGTGTACGTCCTACGCTATCAGGACTCCTTTATCCTAGTGGTGATATTGTATGCCATCGTGTTGGTGCCCACCAACAGCGTCCCTTTGTAGGGTTTCAGAGGTTATAAGTCTCTATGGAAACAGAAAGTCTCATCTGTCTCTTTAGTGTTTTGTTAAACGCCATTAAGTCAATTCTGACTCATAGGGACCCTACATAGGGTTTCCAAGGAGTGA